ATTTAAAAATAATTCATCTATTTAGTGCAGATATCGTTTGAAGACACACATTACCCATTCATCCTTCATTGTTTCAGCTACCTTATTGAACTGGGTGTCTGCTACCTTGTTTTATGCGAACAAAATTACTCAAAACGTTTAGCATTCTCTTACCTTGAAGATCTGGCACAAGAATTTCACTCTCAGTATGGTAAGAGAGTAAATTCTGTCAGTCGTCCGTACTCCTTCATTGAATTCGGTATGTTCATTTGTTGTATTAATTCACCCTTCAATATTTTTATGTCTAAGTAATTTACATATTGTCTTTTCAGATACATACATTCAAAGAGCAAAGAAAACTTTCACAGATTCCCGTGCAAGACGGAATCTAACTTCTCTTAATACAGAACTGCATGATGTGCAGAAAATCATGGTGAAGAATATTGATGATGTTTTGCAAAGAGGAACTGTTCTGTCTGGTAAGTTTCCCTTCAAATACACTTTTTCAAGATTTTTTTGTATTATGACTAGCTTATTTAAAAATTCTTACTTTTTCAGAACTGGACACAAAGGCACAGAATCTCTCTATTCTTTCTCAAAAATACAAGAAAGATGCAACATATCTAAATACAAAATCGATGTATGTCAAAGCTGCTGCCGGTTGTATTGTTGTTGTTGTTTTCCTGTTGTATTTCTGGGTTCTTTAAAATATTCATTGATTCAGTTTATCAAGGCTGAAGGGAAAAGAAGCGAATGAACTGATTTCTGGTAACTGTTACCATTAGGGTAATTCTGTGCAGTTCGGTTTCTGGTAATAGTATAGTAAGACAATTTACTACATGTGGTACCGGTCTATCAATGGCTTTTCATTCATTATGTACTGTATGAGGTGACAGGGATACTTGTGTAATGACATAATGGGATACTTTTTATCTCCCATTCAATGGCATTTTGTATATTTTGTGTATTCTCAAAAATAATTTGTACATTACTGTATATGTATGACACATTTAAGTGTTTAATTATGAAAGTCTTATAACGGTTAGAATGTGTTTTGGATTGAAGGAGTGCTGTGTTCTGCTTATTATGGAATAGTAGCAGGGTCCTGGCGTTACGAAGAGTATAAAAATATGCTACTGCGAACACAAGATCATCAATGGCTTCCTTTATTTAAGGAAATTAATATGAAAAGGACACGGCATCTCTTTCAAACCATATATTGTGCAAGCCTTTTTTTCTCTGTGACAATGTTTTCTTTTGTCATGTGCCTACTTCAACTGGTAAAAAAATGAGATGGAAGACTGATGAAATAGGCATTTTCCCCTTTCAATGTTACCTGTAAAAGTAAATTATGTCCCTTTTGAAAACAAGGAACTTGTTGTTAGCCAATTTTTCTCCCATATAAATCACACTTTTATGTCAGATCAGGCAAGCATATCTCCCCCCTCTATAAATGTATGTGTTGTGATCAGAAATAATTCAATTAGTTGCCAATGGTGTGTACTCGAACTCTGCTGAGATGCCCTTATGCATTGTACTAATCACATACAGTTTTTATTTATTTTATGTGTTGCTGCTTCCTTGCTATTCAAAATTAATTCATGATTCTTTTAATTTGATTATAAGAAGAGACAAAAAAGAAATAGTTGCAAAGAAAGAGGTCTGGATACCTATTGTTTGTACATTTCACTTGTTATAGTTTGTAGCTATGTATGTTCTATGTTGTTTTGTGAAGTCCTCCATAGCAATAAATTTCTTTGTTAGTATTTTAGTATTTTAAAATTTTCTGTCTGATATGCATCTTCAATCAGATGTATTTTTCCACATATATAATGGTTGAAAATACTGATTAGCAACTGTATTATGGCTTGGGCTTATAAGTTGTAAGTAATATTGTTTATTTAGAAGACGGGGGAGCTCTCCAGAAGGGTCTTAAAGTGCTGTGTGTGATTTTTATGTAAATGGAATAAATTATTTAAAATTGTTCTATAAACATTAAGTTGTTACACCACTTTCCAAAACTACAAGGTTGCCAGGCGGAGAAAAAAATCGCCAAATAACAGATAAAAATCTCAGTCCACTGCCCAGGTGGTGGGCCGTGGAGCTTACTTCATACATGCTGCACCTCATGGATCAACGCCAGTCGCGTTACATGGTTCTCACTGATGACCACGGAGGAGGGGAGGGGGGGGGGGGCAGCCCTCCAGTTCCAGCGGCGGGCCCCGGCTCCAGGAGGGGGGACGAGACGGCCGTGGGTACACCTGGACCGCTGCAGGACCCGGAGCCTGGAGTCAGTCAGTGTCGAGAGCGACGTACGCGCGGAGTGCCCCCAACAGACCTGAAGAAAACCATCGACATGGTGTCTTCGACTCGGTTTACTCTCGTCCTAGCGGTAAGTGTCTGCACTTTTACAGCCCCCCTCGGTGACAGAGTTGTCTTCCACTCGTTTCGAAGGGACAAAAACAACTGATCCGCTCGGCCCTCCTTCCCTCCGACAGGCGGTGGCCGTGGCCGCTGTGAGCGCCCTGCCCGACGGCGCCCCCCTGGACGCGTGCGTCAAGGGCAACAAGCCCAACCACAGCAAGATCCCTGCGCAGCCCCTCAACACGCTGCCGTACCGCATCGTCGCCTCGAGCAGCCAGTACCAGGCGGGCTCCACCATTACAGGTAAGAGGAGGAGGAGGGCGCCTGACGGCCGCCGGGTAGGCCAGCCCGCTCGGCGCCGGTGCCCCGGGCAGTGGCCTACCCCGCCCCCTGGCCTGGCCGCACCGCGCCCCTTGGGTGTGGCTGCGGCATCAGCGGCAGCCCGACATCGACGGGTACCTTTCTTCGGTTTGCGGCCTCTGGTTTCGGTCCAGTCAGTCTGCCATAAACAAATTTGAAAATGCTAGCTCAATAGTCAGGGTAGGAACAGAAAACGATCCGAAATTTCGCTTCAGTTCTCAAAAGATCGTACAACATTGTCGTGAGTTCTGTGAAACACCGGCATCGGATACAAGTCTGATACAAATGGGTGCCCCTCGGCCGGGTCCGGCTCGGCAGTGTTATGCGGCCCTACTTGCCACATCCAGACGCCTCCTTCTCTCCGGCCCCGCGGCGGGTTGGGAAACAAAGCCCCTCTCTCTCCCCGCCGCCGTGAGGGGGAGGTCGTCTACGGAGATCAATCTCCATCAGAACCAGCTCGCGTTCGGCGTCCTCAGCATCCCATGGACGTCCTCTCGCCCTTCCACCTCTCTCTCCTTCTCATGTCGCGTGTGTACCCTTCGCCCAGGGCCTCGGGGTATACGTCGCACCGAGGCGAGCGGCCCGCGGCGGGTTAGTGGCCTTGACAGCGAGGGGTATCGACTTGGAGCGGCCGCGTCGTCGTCGTCGTCGTCGCCGCGGGCCGCGAGGCAGGACTCCCCCTTCCCCCTCTGTCCCTGACCCACCGCACGGGCAGCAGTGCCGTATGGCGAGCACGGCGAGCCGGGGCGTACCTACCTCACGACTGGTGTGTTGTGCAACCCGAGTGTGTGCGCCGCTGGGACAACAACCCAGACCTGATTGGTATAATCGGGCCAATCTCAACGACTTGGACGGGAGGGGCGAACCAGTTTCACAAACTAGACTCTCTTTCGTATGTACGTACCAGGTGGGCGGCCCACCGCAGCCCACCCACGCGTCCGTGCGCTCCGCTCTCGACCCCGCGGTACCAGCATCCCGTTCGTCCCCGCTCGGCTCTGTCAGACAATTTTACTCGTACCTCAGGACGCCCAACAACGGAACCCGTTAAAAGACGATGTGTCGTGCGATCTCATTTCGAACCAGAGCTTGCTCGGATTGTTGAATGAGCTACTTTCCGAATAAGAAGAACAGAAGGAATATCGTCTGCTCCCGGATCATCGCAAAGCCTCAGCCAATCAGACAGGACCTCTCTCGTGGCCGGCTCCAGAAAGGCCCTCTCTGATTGGTCGAGGCTTTGTGATGGTCCGGGAGCAGATGATATTCCTTGTGTCCTTCTAATTCGGAAAATAGCTATTTAACTTCATCCCTCCCGTTGCAGTGACCATCTCGGGCGCCAACCTCAAGGGCTTCTTCCTGCAAGCGCGCGACGTGGCGAGCGGCGGCTGGCTGGGCTCCTTCAAGGAGACGCCCGGCGCGGTCAACGTGCTGCCCGAGTGCTCGGCCGCCACGCACGCCGACAACCGCGACAAGGTGTCCGTCACCCTGCACTGGACCGCCCCCGCCGACGCCGCCCCCGGCCAGGTGTTCTTCACGTAAGTCCTCGGCCGCTCGCGCCACGCACTCTTCGGCAACGCCCTTCACCGAGTCCTTTCATGGCCCCAACTCGTCTTTCTTCTCATATTTTTATTTTTGATTTACAGGGGCTCCATTGTGAAGGACTACTCCACCTTCTGGGCCGACGTGATCGCCGAGGCTCCCCAGTAATCTGGTCATCCCCCCCCCCCGCCATCTCCCGCATATTCCATCCTCCCTCATCGATCGCACACCTTCACTTCACCACCGACCGGCCCACACCATCTTTCACCACCCTCTCGAAACGTCACCAGCATCCGCATTCATGCCTACCATCCGTGTAAATTCATTCATCTAAATAAATCCTCTTTTTTTTACGAAAAAAAAATAATTGAAAAGTTGTGTAGTAGTTTCTGCTTTGCCTTGCCCGAGCCACGTAACCGCTTCTTGCCTCACCTCGCCGCCCTGGTCTGGGCGCGGTGCTGTAGTCCTGGCGCAGCCCGCCGTGTCCGTGTAGTTGGCCGCGCGCCGCTCCAGGGCCGCGTCCGAGAGGTGTCCGAGAGCGCCCCGCACTTCCGACGCAGCGGTAGGCAGCTCCAGGGCGACAAGGACGGCGCCGTCACGACGCGCGACCCTTTCGCCGCCTCGGACGCCCTCCTCCCGAGTCGCTTTATCCGAAACGACATCTTTCAGGAGAAGCGAAGCGGCAGGGGGGCCGCAGGCAGGCAGGGTCGACCTCCTGCGCGCAGCCTGCACAGATTTTGCACCCAGAGCGCCCTGCGTAGCGTAGGGTACCGACGGGCAGGCGACGCCCAGACTACACTGCAGAAAGGAAAGGCGCTGCCCGTCGCGCCCAAGGCCTCCGCCGCACGGCCCCAGCAGCGGCGTGCGGCAGAAATGAGAAATAGTTCCACCTTGCCGTGTGCTCCAGTGACTCACTCCCCTTTTGGCTGTCAACACCGAGACCGGTATTGGATCGACGACGCGACGGTCAAATCCCCCTCCGCGGCCTCCGCCCTCCCCCCCTCCCCATTCCAGGGCGGGCGGTAGGGCAAGGTGAGGCGGCGGGATCTCTTTTGTAGGCCACAATCAAGTCCACGACGACGCCCCTCCTCCCCCTCCTCCGGTCACTAATCATCATACTGGGCCAGCAGTGCCGAGCTGGGGGGGGGGGGGGCAGACACCGCCTTGACGGTTTCTTTCTCTAATTGCCTTTCCTTCCCGTTGATCAGATTTCATGACAGGCGCCTCGGCCGAGACTCGACGACGGCGGCGAGGGCGAGAATGCGCGCCGTTGTCATCAACCCCAAGCGGATGGAAGGGAGGGGGGCTGACACTGTCGTTCAGTTATGATTCCCTTCGACTTCATTTTGAAACCGTAGGTCTCCACAGACCTCTGGTTGGGGCACATCGGGGGGAAAAATAATAAAATGAAAAATATTGAGGGGACACCACGCAAAGGCACAATATACCAAGCAAAAAGGAATCGACACAGACACCCCTTCGCCCCTCTGGTCACTTTTTTTGCTCCGCACCAGCCTAAAATCGGACGGGTGACAGACGTGGGCAAAAAGAGAGGGAAGACCTCGCCAAAAAGCGACTGTCCGCACCGCGCTGGTGGTGGAGGCCGCGGGCTTGTACGCATTCATTCCTCATGTCGCCGTCATGGTGGGGCCGCCGAAGTGTCAACGCTGGCAGTGACGGCTCGGAGTGACGGGGCGGGGCACGGGGGGGAGGGGGAGCAGCGCGGGGAACCGGTTCCTCGTCACGTCATCGCCCGTCGTGATCTGGCCCGCTGTCCGCCCACCGCCCTGCCTCTGCACTGCACAATGGACGCAGCGGTGCAGAGAGCGAAAGTGATCCGGCCTGGAGCTGGGCTGGGGTCGAGTCGGGGCGCGAGCGGGGCGCAGCGGCGAAGCGGAGGTTCAGAGTGCAGGACCGCGTTATGTGACACGGGTCGCCGGGCGTGGCGAGGCGGGCCGGGGCTGGCGCGAGCACCGATGCCCGTGACATAACGGCAATGTATTCCTTCCGCTCCCTCTCCTATACCTGCACCGCCTGCGCTTCGCGCTCCTCTGAACGCGGAGTATCGACCACAGGCAGCGGCAGCTTCCCATCACGAGCTTCCTACATTTCTCATTTTCTTTACACGAATAAACACTCCCCTCAATTTTTCGATATCCACCTCACCTAGAACCGACGCAGAAAGATACAGGGGTAGATGAAAGGGAATGCCCGACTCCAATCAGTGTTACCAACGAACATACATGTATGCGTACCTGTTTGTTGCTTTAGTATAAGACTTATTCTCCTTTGAATGCATGCATTATAAACTACCAGTCTCAATACTACATAGCCTCGCGTTTTCGGCATGGGCCCAGATCACCTTTGAACGATTTTACAAATATTCGACTCGTTCAATTATTCGCAACGCAACGAAAGACAGCCTGATGTCCGAAGTCCAGACAGTTGAAAACCGAGCCGAGTCGGTCCGTCGCGTCGCGATCAATTCCGTATTTTTATCTGTGATTTAATTGTTGTTTTGGAGTTTGGTAAGCACCAACAGGTATTGTAAAGTACTGGTTCAGTACAAAAAGAAAGCCTTGGTCGGAAATTTCAGGAAAACTGGTAAATTGTTGAATTTTTGTGCGATGTAGGTTATGATGACCAATCCTCAACCTGTTGTCTCATCTGCCTGCGAGCATCTTTGGCGAAACTCCATACCGAGCCCAGTGAGTTTTCCGAGCCTACTAGAGATCCTTATGCCACACCAATGGGACTCCGATTGAATGCAGGTAAGTGTATAAGCAATCAGAGCACTTTGGTTAGGAATGTGACGGGGGGGGG